CATTGCCATTCTTCAGGCTCTAGACCACAGACAGGCTATCGTCTGTGTGCTGAATAGGGATTAGCCGATCTGGAGACAGACCAACAAGTCACGGTACGTCGTAATGGATCTCATGTTCCGCTCATTTTGATATGAACGCAAGGCAATGTCACTCAATGCACTGTTAGAATCAACAATGCGAAGCATTCATGTGGCGACCGATTTGTTGCAGAAAGTAAGAGTGCGCTTCTGAAATACCAGATATTTTACAATCTTATGGACCGATAGATTGATCGATGAGCGAAACTTCCATCCGAGAAGTCATCCCTTGGGGATCCAGGTGACACGCGTGACCACATGATGTGGAAATCGTGACTTACGGATAAGTGGCATAATACCCTGTCGGAGAGTGAGTCAATCGCAATGCTGATCAGCCGCTTGTGGCCGAACGATGAAATGTTAGAGCTACTGGGCAGGAGGTCGCCGGTTGATGATTCCCTCAAGCATCATGAGATGTTCACTGCTGATGATTCCCAACAAGATAAAGCAGCTGTACCCATCAATCTTGTTCCAAGTGAACGAGTAATGTCAAGTTTCTGATTGCACCACGATGCAGATGTGTGTCTATGGGGCGCATTGTGAAACGGTCCGGAACAACCGACACAGAGACCACAAACAACGTACTACTCTGTCACAATGCCACTTTACTTACAAGTACTCATCTAACTGAACTAAGGAAACAAACGGGGAAGCTGATAGGAACATCTCCTCATAAAGCAGGAGAACATTATCACGCTGGTGTGGCGAAATACCCTCATTTGAAAACCAATTGGGTTTTGGGGGAGATTCACTTGGAACTCAGCTGAATCAGTCCCTTATTACCTGAAATCTAGGGGCATTATTATTGCGGCAATTTTGAATGCCGTACGGTCCTGTTACCAATGTGAACAGGTAAACCAGATTTCGGTGGCCACTTTATCGGCCCTAATGTGTGTGTATGAGGCCCGAGTACAGGCAGAAAGTTGGTTCATTTTGTATAAACATAGGCACAGCCTACAACACATTGTACTTTTAAAAACTGCGTTGGCGTAACTAAACACCACCCGGTTTTTTCGATGTGTTAGTTGTTTCGAGTATCTCGGACCGAACGCAGCGTTTCCGCCCACGCACGCCATGCTACCCAATGATGCAGAGGCACGCAAACACCCAATCAGAGTGCAGTTTTGACACCGACCGGAAGTGCCAGAGCGTGAGAAAGTTAGGCCCGCTAGACGGCTGAATCGTCCAATTTCGAAAAGTCGAACAAAACAACAAGTGGTGAAATTGTCACACCTCCGTCTGCCGTGCAACTGTGAACGCAGGTCCAATAATCGCCAGTGGGAAAGGAAACAGGGTAGCCAAGTCATAAGAGTCGTCTATTTTTGCCGCAAAAAAACGGGCGGGGAAGCACGAAAGGCTGCTCTAGGAAGAGATGCTTGTTGGTCGGTCCTCCTCACTCACAAAGAAGCAAAAAGGTGGACTAATCTAAACAATGAGAGCGCTCAACAGTGCTCATTTTGTCAGGGTAGAATGAATTGAATAGGTCCAAGTTGATCACTTTTTAAAGCACGGTGGACACACATGGAATATCAAGCACGAACAGGCGAAGATGTTCTCAATTTGAGCAATGTAATTCCCGATATATCAAAAGTCGAACCAGTACTGTTGATGACTTCTAGTGGGAGAGAAACTGCATCTGGTTGCAGAAGAGTTTTCAGCGACCTTGTGAGTAGTACTCACCCACTCACGTCATCTTCGTCTACAATTCCGTGTACATCTACTGAGAAACGAATCGCCAGTGTCGTGCAAAACGTTAAAACTGGTGGTTAACTGGTGGCTAAAACAAGCGCATAGCAGTGATTCCCGAAAGGCAAAAACTAATCATACAGGATACTTCAGTAGTTCTGCGCTAGTAAACTTTTTGTTCCAGCATGAAATGAAGGTTGGGATATCAAAATAACTTCACCACTCATCACTAGCAACTTCAGCTATTGCGCAGAAGCTATAGTTTTCGTCACCGATGTTTTGAGAGGACAGTAGTGGATAGCTACGCACTGGAAGCGGTAGCTGATATACATGATACGTGAGTTCGGCAGTGACAATGTGCTTCTCATTGAGACCGGAAGTGGAACCTATGCGTTGAAGGCAGCAGGTCAGATGTGTGCGAGCCACTGACCGCGCGAGTGGACCATATCTGTCTACGTCTCCAACAATTGATGTATCATTGCTTGATCTCTCTTGGCTCGTTTCCACCTTTCGCGTGGTTGTAAGAAAAGGGCTGTCCGAGGAAATTGGTCGACCGGCGTACGGGGCACTTGACCAACCAGTGTGATCAGTTCATCTATTGTGGGCTAGACCACCGGGGCTGATAGAGCTGCCCAGATGGACAAATTTGTCCACTATCTCAATGGGGTCATTCGCACGCATGAATTTGGGTTTGATAGCAGCATTGTACAATTTGCAGAATTATTTAGACCGTGTAATGTTCTCCTTATTACGACACTATCAGATTCAAGAAGAACCACGTGGTCCGCTACTCGATAGCTGCGAGCTGCATTACAGGTGAGCGTTTGTGTTGAAATGACTTGCTGGACAGAAACACTTATCGGTCAGCGCACAACCGGAGGAGTCACTCGCCACTGTCTGTGTCTTAGGAATCGCCCGCCCAGATGTGATCCCAAAGAGGTCTGATCACCGACTTGGGCATTCATAGCACCCGCAAGGATCACAATGTCAGTCCTTCTTGCTTGACCAATGAGCCGCGATAAAATGGCAAGTATCCTTCTCAGCATGTCGAGTGGTACTGAACCTAATTGAGTCAGATAACCGAACAACGCGGATAGAACCCTTCGTTGGAATTCACACCAGCAAACCGCGTTCAGCCCTGGGGCCGAGTCCAAGTCCCATGCTACATACTCCATGTGCCATGTCTTCGAGATCACCAGACACACAGAGAGAGTAAAATGTGCAAGAGCTGAGTTCATCCTTGGCGTTCTAAGATGTACAGCCACGCTTGAATCTTGGACGCGCATTACAGACAAGGTATACATCAATTTTAAGTCCCAGATAGGCATTGCCTGTTTACCAATTTAACGTGGAGAATGAATGTCGGAAGCTCCTACGCAGAAAAGGCCTCGTAGATTGATCAGTTAGTGGGCAGCCGGGTGGATAAGATGAGTCGGTCAGATAACTGGCAGTCAAATGATTCATCCTAAGGCTGCCACCGTGAAGTGGTGGTGTTACAAAGGCGCAGCGTTTTCTCACAACGTGCGACTTTGTCATGAAGGTCAGGAGGGAGCACTCAAACTCAGAGCAGAGAGGGGAATCGTATTACACGACCAACTGAGGAGAAATCGTACCATCTTCTGCAATGTACGTGTGGAGGCAGTACGATGTCTTATCCAGGCTGCCTGCCTTTCCCTCAAGGACGGGTTAAAAAATGCTCAGCCGTAAAAATCACAAATTCCGGTCGCCAAAGGCTTGACTATGGTTGAAATGTACTGAAAACCTACCAAACACGTTTGCGATAGCATCAGGAGTGCGACATCTGTACCCAAACACGTTTGCGATAGCATTAAAAGTGCGACATCTGTACCTTGTTCTCTGCCCCCCCCCCCGGAGTGGACCAGTCAGATTATTATTCAGACCATTTACTCCTTCGCTCTGGGCATGGTCCCCCATGAAAGCTCTACTGCCCGCGACTTTACGGGCCCAACTGGGGGAAATCTGCTGTCCGACTGCCTAACCACATCAGACATATAAGCAATTCGCTCTGGGCATGGTCCCCCATGAAAGCACTACTGCCCGCGACTTTACGGGCCCAACTAGGGAAAATTTGCTGTCCGACTGCCTAACCACATCATACATATAAGCAGCTGTTGAAATAAGAAATAAGCGAATAAGAAACTGGTGTTGTGGGGAGATATGGGGGTTTTCAATAGGAGTTTGTCCTATAAACGAAACAAATTCACGCTGGAAAACCAAGAACTTGTTTCATCCTTGTTGAGAGTTATCGGCAGTGTGCAGCCCATAAAACTGCAGGAAGTCTCGAACCCGCAACCTCCCGGCTAATAGCTTGAACACTTCACTGTTCGGCCACGAGCGGCTAATCAGCAGTTTGATTGATCCAAGAAGGTGTCCACCTAACTGAGCACTTCTGATGTCTCCAAACTTCTGCAAGCTAACTGTTAAGCTTGGGGAACAAACTGTTAAATTAACCGAGCTGCCAGTGTTTCGACAGAAAAAAACAAGTATTGAAACTACCGGAGGTTGTGTGCGCTCAACTCCATTGTGCGAACAATTAGCTCCACACGTAAAGTCTTCAACACTTGTATTTATTCGGAGTTCAGTTCAACTGTAGTACCCCTTCGGTACCTAACTTCAAGGCCATCCGAAGGAAGTACGAGGGCTGGGATACTGCCAGATTGCCAAAGTCTACACAGGAGAAGTCAGGAGGTAGAGTTCGGATTCGAACCACGGTCCAGCCGGTCAGCGAAAATCCGCGCTTTAACCACTGGGCATCTAAATTCTTCGGTAATTGAAATAAAACCATACCTGATCGACGGGGTGTGCAAACTGCAACTGCAATCATTCTGAGACTTACTCGCCTGTCCGGCAATCTTCACACGGCCAATAGGCTGATATTCCCAGAAACGAGTTGGCCAGTCCGAAACGGAAGAGCATATCTAGCGTTGACTTGTTTTGTTCTTTGGCCAGATCCTGTTCAGATGCACTGAGTAAACATGGTTCAAGCAGTCGAACAAGCGCAGCAAATATGGCCACATTGAAGTCTTGCTCCCGTATCATTTGCTCAAAGCGGCGAAGCGTTTCGGCTATGTCCGTAGTCCTAAATTCCCTCGTGAAAAGCGGTGGCAGAGTGTTTTCGATGGCCTGTAATTGGGAAGAACGTTGAGGGTCAGTTAAATTCGGCTGCCACCATCGATTCATTTGACACAGACACCTACCATGACTACCTTTCAACATGCATCTCTGGTAAAGAACAAGTACTGAAATGTCTTCGAATGAGCCCACAATGATCACTGCTAACTAGTTGGGAAATACTTGAAACACGGGAACTAAATCGTTTGATGACTTGAAAACGGTGTAGAATGACGAACATGAGGTCTTTGCAGTTCAGTTGTAAGTAGGATAGAAGGCGATTTTCAGAAATCCAGAATTTTTTAAATCTGTTTTGAAAACAAATTCGAAGTTGTAGGATACCATAAGCAAGAGACTCAGTTGAGTCTCTCGTGAAAACGAAATTGATTTGCAAATGAGTGTATTTCTCGAAAACAGTCCGATTTGGGTTCAAGTAGAACATAAGGTTATCGGATAAGGTTGGCCAATAGTTTTCATCTCCCGTGGCTGTGCTACCCACGGATCACATTCATTTGCTACCATACGTTCAAAAACTGCCTCAGATGTCATTCTGGTGAACTTAGAAAGACCAGTGCAAGGTAGGTGTTAGATGACCAGTGCATTCAAGGCGTGGTCGGACGTTCTTCAATCGGTGCGGGGCAGTTAGTGGTGATGCGTCTGTCGAGAATTTCATCCCTTTGGTTCTCGAGACGCCGAATTATACACACTAGAAACGGAGAAGCCGATTCTGACGGAGTTTGAGCACTTCATTGTGTACAGATGAGATTTCGCGTTCATATAACCTTTGTGAATCACCTAGGCACACAGAAACAATCGACAGGGCGGACACTTTGGGGTTTTACTACATTTAACCTCAATAATTTTAGTTCATCGTGAATGACTGGAATTTATGATGAGAATGATGGTTTCACTAAACCCAGTTCGTCCACAAGCGTGAGGCCAAATTTACCCGTTATTGTTGTAGAAAGAAGGTTTTTATTTCCAATCGATCTGGCGTGAGGAGTGACTGTTGGTATCGATCTGCGTGTCTGATCATGTGAGGATATATTTATTTGGTCACCTGATCATCCAAGCCCAGTCAGATGAGAACTTCAGTCCAGTACAGCACACAATAACAGCACTTCAATCGAATGTTCAAATGGAAATCAGAATGCGATTAATTTCAGAACGATCCGGCTCAAATGCGTTTGGAGCTGAAGGCAGGGTCACAGATAAGGTCGATCTGAGGTAACCAATCAAAAGCAGTGAGACAATATTCAGCTCTGGTGGCAAAATGCCTTTTATACTAAGATACGACAGCACATCATTTTTTCGAACGAACTAGGAATGAACATGAAAATACGACATTCTGAACAGGAAGCAAGTTACACCGAGAACGCTCAAAATGTGAGACCCCGATTCTTGATGGTAGACTTAAGTAAGACGTAAAGAACACGTGGGAGTTATTTACAAAAGGCTGACTCCAAAAAAGACACCTGGTTTGATAGTTTCCAACCGGAATAACTGGCGTACCCCACGGGCGAGTCACAAAAAAGCGATGTTGTCCACCAGTACTCCACTTTCGACGTATACAACCGGATGGATCTTGTCAGAAATCAATTCTAGATTTACAATGCAGTAAGGACACCAAAAAACACTAAAACGCAAGTGAAGAAACATTGGGGGACCACTCCATCTATCCGCGCGAGATTATGTGATATTTCCCAACCTTTCTACCACAAGACCTTTGTAAATCATATTAGACTAGTTAGTATTACCACATGCATTCATGGTTAAACAGGGTACTGGAATGTCTTTACAGGACAACACGGCCCTTGCATCACCCGGAGGCTGTTTCTGTTCCTTCTCTCGGAAGCGATACTCAGACAAACCTGCATTTTTGATCCCCAACTGTAGGAGATCGCGCAGATCGTACCAGCACAGTACCACCAAAGCTGAGTTACTAGCATGATTGGAGAAGTTCCAGGCATGATCTCGTTCAACAATCAGTAAGAGTATGGCGAAGATGTCTGCAGAAGTGTTGGGGCGCAAAATCCGACGAAGAAACTGTGGTCCTATAACTTTTTTACTTCAAAGTATTATCCTTGTTAATCCTGGGGTTGACATGTGATTGTACTACTACTAATCTGCCGACAGGTAATCACGGAACTTCGCCCAATGAGGGTGAAGGATTGGTGAAAAAACATGAGGGAGTTCATGATTTCGTTATGAGATGTATCACAGGACATATTCCGGATGTCATCAGTCTTGGCGTTCCTCAACAACTTAGAACGAGTAAATATGAACAGATAATTATCGAAGATCGATGTAACTTAACTTGTCGATTTGGCTTCCCAAAGTTTTCAACCCGGAGTGATGCTCTCCTCCTGAATAATACTGGGAGTAAAAATAAATATAAACCATTCAACTGTAGCACCCTTTCGGTGCCTAACTGCCATGCCACACGAAGGAGGC